AAAAAAAAAAAAAAAAAAAGCATAATCTATAAATTGGGCATGTTTTTTTTTTGCGGTACGCGGGCCTCTCCCGTTGCGGAGCACAGGCTCCGGACGCGCAGGCCCAGCGGCCATGGCTCACGGGCCCAGCCGCTCCGCAGCATGTGGGATCTTCCCGGACCGGGTACAAACCCGTGTCCCCTGCATTGGCAGGCAGGCGGACTCTCAACCACTGCACCACCAGGGAAGCCCTAAATTGGGCATGTTTTGAGGGTAAAAGCAAATGTAATTCCTTACATACAAGATAGAGGCATTCCTTTTGCAAGCAGTTTAATTACCTAACAGTGCTCTCTCTTAAGCAGAAAAGGAAGTTAACTTGAACAGCCTACACACAAGTCCTACTATGATGGAAGCGCCACTAAAGTCAGTTTGGCTAAATTAAACAAAGCTTCCCTTGACTCTGAGCTGCATATACTGCCCATATTCTGGGGAAAGATTCCATAAACTCACATATCCAGTCCTTAGATTCAACTTCATATAATGTGAAGCACTTCTCAGTAAAGGACTGGTTACTGTTCTCGTCCAACCTGATCTGAAGTCTACTGAATTGGAATATTTAAGGGCCCTCTGTGGTGGCATATATGACTGTGCAGCTGAATATGTTCAATTATTCCCTAGGAAAAAGTTTTGTTCTTCCTTTGTTTGCTTAGGCAAGCAACTGTTGTGGGATATCCAGCATTTTAAGTGATTCTGCCTCAGAGCATGTGTTAGAAACTATAAGGAGAGTTTATAACATTTCAATTCTAAAAGGTTTTTCAGCTTTGGATTTCTGGAATTGGTTGTGTCTATATTTTTTTCCATCCTGTTGGGACTTACTGTTGATAGCAACCTCCTGTGTGGTTCTAAGACATGTTGACCTCTTTGAAACCTTTCCAGGTGTCATTGCCACTTTCTTGATCTCTGCAATATAAGCTACATTGTTTAGCAGAGTTAAGTTCTCTGAACTTTAGAAATCCTCCCTGAGACTATGAATTGACTAACACCCAAGGTAGCATAAACATGCAGACACAAATGTTCCTAAAACCAAGCTGCTGGGCAGTGCAGGATATGACTTGGAGTCTGGAAAAAGGAACAGTTTGCTCACTTGTGAGTCTATGACTACCTCCAGGTGCAGTTTGAAGCTAAGTGGTTAGCTTTTCTGATCCTCAGATGTAACCTCTCATTAGAACACAGCAGAATGTGCAATTGTGTGTGTATGGAATTCCATGAAGACCCTCTGGGCCCATTAAGACCTCTCTGGCTTCAGAGGGTCCTAAAACACACTTCTTTACGTAGCATAGGTAGCTGTAGTAAAGAGACACCTTTTACAAATACAATCTAAGTTTTAGTCTAAAGATTATAATGACTGTAGCTCATCTTAAAATTTGTATCCAGAGGATGCAGTTACAAATTAAAAAGAGGAAAACAAAGTTTAATAGATACCTATCTTATGTTTCCAGTTTGTCATTAAAAGGTTCTTATTGTTTTTGGTCCTTAAAGCTTTGCAAGGGTTCATACTTGTACCAAGAATCCCATATTAGTCTAGCTTTAAATGTAGAGTATTATACCAGTGATTTTCTCAGCCCTTCTCTTAAAACCTCACCATTTGGCTCTTCTAACAGACGAATCATGCTGCCAAAACCTAGGAGAGTTTGACAATGTTGTGGAAATAACACTATATTGAGAGTGAAAAGACACGGGATTCAGATCCATCTCTACCACCATCTTAGCTTAACATTTCTGTCTCCTTACCTATAAAATATGCGTAACAAAAAATACAAATCACACAGGGATATTATGAAAACAAGACTAGTAATAAATACAAAAAGACCCAAGTGCAGAAGAGTATAAATATGAAAGGTATAGTGTGGCAGTGGTTAGCCATTCTTTTTTCCTGTTTATGTCCTTCCCATCTAGAAACCGTACATCCATAACATGAAGACTACTGTTACTCCACACCCCTGAGCCTTCTGTTCTTACGATCACCTTTCCCATCCTGGCTCCAGTCTCCAGGGAATCTTGAGGGTCACTGAGGGCCATGGTAGTCTACGCAGCTTAAAATGACTTTGAAGGGAGGTAAGCTTCCTCTGCTTTGCTTTTTATTGGCTAAGGCCTGCAGCGTGTGTGTATGAATGGGTGAAGTGGCTACAGGTACAGTATACGATCACACATTACTGCACCTTCTCAGAGGTTTCTTTCCCATCACTACTAGTTCATTTCTGGGAATGCAATGATCATAGAAGCCTTTCGAAGCTCTAAAAGGCTGTACAACATGGATTGCCTCTGGGTGGTTGGAATTATAGGTGGTCTTTTTCGTTTTCCTTTTTTGGTTTATATATCTGCTCTACGTTCTTACTTTTGCAATTAATAAGAAAAAAAATTACTTATTTTTGAAACGAACCAACCAACCAACCAATTGTCTTTTAATGATGTTACAAGGGGTAAACAACCAAACGACTTAAAAACTCGCTTACACAGACATTTCTCAAAAGGAGGATTAGAAAATAAGGGCACGGGCTTTCCTGGTGGCGCAGTGGTTAAGAATCCGCCTGCCAATGCAGGGGACACGGGTTCGAGCCCTGGTCCGGGAAGATCTCACATGCTGCGGAGCAACTAAGCCCGTGTGCCACAACTACTGAGGCCTGTGCTCTAGAGCCCGCGAGCCACAACTACTGAGCTCATGTGCTACAACTACTGAAGCCCACGTGCCTAGAGCCCGTGCTCCACAACAAGAGAAGCCACAGCAGTGAGAAGCCCCTGCACTGCAATGAAGAGTAGTCCCCGTTCGCCACAACTAGAGAAAGCCCACGCGCAGCAAAGAAGACCCAATGCAGCCACAAATAAATAAATAAAATAAACTAAAAAAAAAAAAAAGAAAAGAAGGGAATGTCATTCATTCTAAAAATACAAGTGCAATATCATATCATATGAGACAGTTTTGTAAGAACGTTTATTAGAAAAGGAGATATGATGTCTTAATGTCCTGTTTGAATAACCAGAATTAAACAGACTTAAGAAGAACTGCACTATATCTACTTTTCCAAATTTTATACTAATAGTGTGGCAATATGACGAAAAAGCAAGTAAGAAATCAGAATTGAGCTACTGAAAAAAAGAAAATAGCTGAGGGTGTAACATATTCTAAAGCTGGTCTATAGACGAGATGGGAAAACTCTCTAATGACTTTCTTTTAATCATAAGCAGACAGTAGTTTCCTTATTACCCAGAGTTTTAGAAATACATTATTCTTGAGAGTACTTCCTAGGATTTCTTTTACTCATTTAAGACATCATCTTTGTATTTAATTCATCCTCAGCTATCCCTGCAGGGCACATCCCTCTAATTATTCCCATCTAAAGTGACAGGAAAATGGAATTATACTACTTGGAAAACAGACATCCTTTGGTATGTCTTTTCTCAGTGCTCCCTTGGGCATAGTCTGTCATCGTGCTCATTTTGTCACAGACGGTGAGCTGTCATTGGAGGGCAAGGACTAAGACTTCTCTGCCTTTGAATTCCCAGTGCCTAAGACATGACTGCCACGGACTATATACACAGTAAGAATCTGAATAAACAAATGAAAAATAATACCCAACATACAATGTTTATAGTATATCAAGCACTATTTTAGTGCCTTGCACATATTAACTTATTTAGTTCTCATGACCCTATGAAACAGGTACTATTATTATCCCCAATTTACACATGAGAAAACTGAAGTATGAAAGCAAAGCGAGGTAATTCAGAGCCAGGATCCAAGCTGACGTACTCTGGCTCTACAGTTCACCCTCATAATCACCACACCAGGCTCCCTCAAGAGCACCTATGCTGAACAAGAGAACGTCCACTCCAAGAGGAGCATGGGTACACTGTGCTCCGTCCTCTAAACATTTCTGGGTTTCTGTCAGATGTAGCCATACTGTGCGACCCCGTGGGAGACTTAAAAAGGGAAATAACTAGACACAGGCACACAAATGCAGAAGAAATGAATCCGCAACCTTAAAAATTGCTGTGTTTGTAAGGCTGTTTCTCAAATACCTGTGGGGATTTGTGAGAGCGCCAGCTGTACTGGTGACTATGGAGACTGGCCAGCAGAATATTTTCATCAGTATCCACCTGGCCAAACCGCAGTGTCTCCTGTGTGTCATTACAGATCACAAAATGGCTGAAGACCAACTCCTCTACCTCAGGGCATTTATTCTGAAAGAAAAAGAATACGAAAGCCAATGTGCATCAGATTAATTGCAAGATGTTTGGCAGCTGTCTGCCCAGTGGCGATTGTTACAACACAGAAATACTAAAAGATCTGTTGTCATTAGCTCTGGTATACAAAGTATTCTATACTTCCAGGATAAGCACAAAAAATACCTTAAAGAGATCTTAAATGTTCCAAGAATATGTTTTGATTTATATTCCTGCAAAATAAATCATACACACAGAAGAGTAAAAGAACAATGAGATCCTTCAAACTTTTAACATTTTTAAATGAATTAACATGCTACAAAGAATGCTGTACTGGGTAGCGCACGTTTTTGAGCAGAGTACCACAGGCTAGAATTACCATGTTCCTGGCCTTCTCAACTTGACAATCAAGACCAATTACCAAAGCCACAGTTTGTACCCTACAGAAAGTAAGGATCATTTAGGTAATACATCCCCAGTTCCCTTGAGGGGGAGGGTGGATATGTGTGTGTAAATCTGCTCAGGGAGAGACGTAAATAAAACCATAACTTTCCCGCTATTGTTAAGAGGCTGAACACACGAAACAGATCAACTTCAGAGTCAGTATAAGCCAAGCTGCAGTTTTCAAGACAAAAAACGTTAGTTGAAAAACAGTTGTTGGTGTCTGTTTCAGCTAATAATCAATCAGCAAATGTCTTCCATTAATCTACTAAGGTTCAGCAAATTAGTAATACGTTCCTGTGTTGGTACCTCCTTCTCAACTTAATGGTATCTCCACTGGTTGCTGTTATATCGAAGCACTGGCAATGTGATAGAGCATTTCTGTGCTTACTCTTTTATCACTTTGGTTAGCTTATGGCTTAAAAAATAATAAACATACCTTTGGTAAATGAAAAGAATAGCTAAATAAATGGTTAACTTGAGAATGCAAGAAAAATATCTTAACTAGCCACTGAATCTGCAGACAATAGGAGGTAATATGTAACTGATGCTTCTCCAGTTGGCTTCTATTTCCTGGTTGTGGATCTAAATAATGTCACAATGCCACACTCTGTCATTTGCCATTTTACTGAGGGGAGGGAGAGTAAAAAGGGATATACCACTCATGAGCATAGAAATTTAGGTGACTACATGGCCTGAAGCCAAGGAGTCTATGGATGAACACACCTGGAATCCAGCCTGGACCAAGACCTGATCTAGAACCTCATGAGAACATTTTCTTGGGAGGTACAATCCCTTCCTAATCATCCAGAAGGCCCCTAAAGTGGGCAGGCAGAGCTCTACAGCTGCAGTCGGTGAAGAGGCCCTGAAATACCTCATTCTTCTAGATACCCTTGAGGGTCTCCTAAAGCGTTCGCTCTATCATCCATCTATTCTCACCAAACCTCTCTATTCTCCTGGAGTGGAACCTTGCCTGACAACCACAGGAATCATAAAAGGAGTCTCTGGCTAAGTGAGACTGAAGCAGTTATAACCAGTAATTATCTGCCGCCTACCATATTACTTTTTGCTGTGGCTTTTAATCATGAGCTATGATTTCAAAACTGGACGGCCCGTGGGTTTTAGGCGTCCTGCCTGATCTGGCCCCTGCTGCATCTTGAACCACTCTCCGTTTGCCTGCTAGACCCCAGCTCCACCAGCCCTTTTCAGCCGCTCCAACGCTGCACTGGCCTCCTTTCAATTCATCCAACACATCAAATTCCTTCCTGCCTCAGTGCCTTTCTTCTGCTTGGACCTCTTTTCCTCCTTGCTTGCCTAATTTCTTCCAACTCAGCTTTCAGGTTCCTGTTTTCAGGTCATGCCCTCAGAGTAAAGTAGCCTCCTGGGATCCTCCCAGATCACCTTAGGTCCCTCTATTTTATGCTCACACAACACTATGTATTTTCCCTTAAAAGCACTGATCCCTATTGGGACTGAGTAATTATTTGCATGATTATGGGTCATTGTTGTCTCCATCATTAGACTCTATGCTGCATAAGGGCAGGAACCAGGTCTTTGTTAGTTACAACTTTTGCTCCTGTAGTCAGCATAATGCCTGACACGTAAGTACTCAATAAACACTTATGAAACAAACATGAGTAAATTTAACTTTTAAAATTACAAGTGTAATATATGTTCCCAGTATAAAAATTAGAAAATACAGAAAGTACTGATTTTTAAAAACAAAGTCTCTAATTTTATACTCAGGGATAACTGCTGTGAACATTTTGGAGAATTTTTTTTTCCAGCAATTTTTCACTTCTGAGTGTCCTGCCTGTTCCTATTCTAGTCTATCCGATCTAATCCTATCTTATATATCTTATATATTTAAAGGTTTGTAAACCTTTAATTAAACTGGAGTCACAGTGTACAATTAGTTTTGATGAGATTTTTCCATTTAGCGTTATATAATCAACATAAACTGCTCTCCTTGTAAACATTTTTCTCTCCGTTAGGTCCAACAGTACAAACATGAAGAAAGGGATATGATTCCAACTCCCACTTAGATAGACATCCTGAGACTGAAATTCAATTTTCATAATGAATTGGGATCAATCTGCTGGTTACACAGAGGTTAAGTTACCAGATGGGGCTTGGGTAGAAAAAAATCATATTACTTTCCTCATCTCTAAAAACTGACCTTTAATAAATGATGAGGGTTTTAGGAAAAAAATGTAAATGAAAGAACACAAGGGGCTTGTTTACATTTTTCTAAAGAATACTCAAAGTCCTCAGGGAACTGTTTCTCTACTGCTCCTTCATCTGTGGAGTTCATTAAAACTGTAATAAGTTTAAGCGTTTCTTGGAATGTTTAAATTCTAGTATATTATAAAAAAATTTGTACATATTGTATGTGACATCATATAAAAGCGCAACCTCAGAATGCTTTCGTAATTAAGAGATGGCTTATTTACATTTAAGATTTGTGCTGGACTGTTATACAGGCAATTAAAGAGAGATATCATTATGGTGTAAGATAAGATACATGAGCACAACCTTGATTTTTAAATAAAAATCTCCTTTACATCCTATTTGGTCCAAATGTGGGAATGTGACATGGAAATATAAAGCAAACTGCAAGTGGCATTTTGGGTCCTTAATCTGGTTTCACAAAACATTAATCATTTACAAAAGAGAAAAAAAAAACTACAGCCAGAGAAATCAGACACTGATGAAGGCTTCTGTTAATCTTGAACTGTGACCTAAAGGTGAAAGGCCAAATTGTTTCATGCTTCAACTGTCTGGTCCATCCACACTGGATACAAATGACTTGTCTCGGATAAGAACCCGATAAAAAGTATGTGGAAAACTCAAATTGCTTATCCAGCTTGTTAAGTTCACGTTTTTCATTGGCAATAATTATACTGTATATGAGCATTATATACATAATAAAATCCAAGCTTGGGTAACTAAGTTTCCCCTCTAAAGGGGATAAACCACATTCAGAACATCTTAGAAACAATGAATTTAATAACCCCTCTATAAGCCCATTTCAATGTCAAATGTCCTGTAATTTCAAAGTAGTGCATTTTTGTATTTACTTTAGAATACACAGGGTTAGAGATGCCTACCACATTAAAACTTGGTGGCAAGTACGCTTGACATGGGAGGAAACAAGAAAATTATAGCAACAATTACAGAAGTATATCCTCTTGTGGCTCATGTTAACATTGCCAAATCCCTGTATAAATCAGAACCAACTATTCACAGAATGTACCTGTCAGCGATATGCTACGTGACATATGGCTCTACTTAATCAAATATACAATTCCATTTTTAAAAAAACTCAGAATATTCCTTCAAGGCACTGTGTTAGCCAGTCAGTCATTCACACTCTGATGTGGTTTAAAACATTTAAATATTTATGCACCGTATTTTATTTATATGTATAGCTGTGTCTAAGAGAATATTTTTACCCTGGGAGGAAACTGATATTTCTGAGGGCCATTTTGCAGTAGTTGCTACACATGAGTCCTCTTACAATGGTCCTGATACCAAGACAAAAATATCCTGGGATTAAATGCTCTATCAATGACTCTTTTATATTTTCTAGGTTTGTTTTTTATTAAATGCATTGTTCAAAATATGACAAAAAACAGAAATTGGAGCCACGGAGGTTTTTTTCACATCGCTATTCGAACCAGCTGCAAAGATTTAGATCACACTAGCTCTTATTTTACGCATGTCCTCTGCAGCAAGAAAACCATGGAATGCCCTTAAAAAAGAATTTTAAAATATGAAACAGATGTGTTATCTTCTTTCCCTTTGCTATTGTAGTGCCATGTTAGGTAATTAATTCCTTAGTCTTGTATAGGTCTTCATGCATATAAAGAAAAGAGTTCATTCCCATAAAAATTCTAGAACTCAAGCCCCTCCCCCCCACCACTGCCCCATCCCCACATGAGGTCAGGGTGGAGTGAAGGACCATTTCTCTTGGGGAGTTAGTCTGCACAAATACCTGTAACATACAAAATGTGGGGAAATGTCTCAGCTTAAATAACACAAGCTTTATTGAAATGCAATATTATACTGAAAATCAGTAAGGGAAGCAGAGGTGATTTGTTATTAAATCACTGAGCACATTATCAATATTATCCAAATATTCTGTGAAATTAGTTTCATGTTAGTGGACGTGGGCAGGTTCCCCATTTTAAATATGTCATTCAAAACAGACGTATATTCTAACTCTTTTTCGATATGGATAATTTCTGACAAAAGGTAAAAGTAAAAAATTATTATCAAGAGTCTTTAGCTGGTTACAAAATCTATTATCGAGTGCTTTTTTAGTGAATCAAAATGGCAGAATGATAATGGGAGAAAGACTAAAATTAAATTATACTATGTTCACATAATTTCCTCTCACTGCCTTTTCTCTTTGAAAAGATGAACTGCTTATATCAGGAAGCCTCACACAGGTTCTTCATTTCTGCAATGGCTGCTTCGACAATGTGATACATACCAAGTTGAGCTTTGGCAAACTAAAGCCATAATACTTGGAAAAAATTTCTGGGAATGTGTTACTTTCCACACAGATGTGGTACATTAGTCACAAAAATGTGGGCATCATCTCTGATGCATGTGTAGAGAACCCATGTTCTCCAAAGGTTTTAAAAATAACATGCATCACTTTGCCAAAACAGAGGAGGCCCCAAATATTATGGTGCCCATCAAATTCTTCATTCTCTCACATTTTTGTTTGTGCTTAATTTATTATTAGAAGTGATAACATAAAGTGCCTAGTAAAAGATCACACACAGACAAACTGTAAACTGTTCTAGAATATACATACCTGCTGCCAAGCTTGTATTGCAGTGTTTAGAGAATGAACTACATGTTGCCCAAAGTTTACAAATATTGAGTCAACGTTGATAGAGCAATCAATCAGCTTTTCTACTGCATTGCTGGAAACTGCAATCTGTCCAAAGATGCTGAAGGGTTTCACCATGCTTTGCATTGTAACATTTCTGCACTCTAGAAGTTTACAGTCTGCTTGAGCTGAGAACTGCATCTCCTGACAGACAGAACTATTGTTCCATTGTCGAAGATACATGTGTGGTTCTTTGAAGGAAATAATCATGTATTCTAGTTCAGATGGCACATTTTTATCAGAAATAAATGGCTGTAGGTATTGCGGTGGAGCTGTTGAGAAAACAAACAAGAAAAACAGCAGTTGAGATGAGCCAACGCTTTATGGAAATAAAGAGATGACATTTAAATTATTCATTTCTTGGTTACTGAATGCAATATTTGCTGGTTAATAAATTCAAATATTCTCTTGAAGATAATATAACATTTGAATTACCATTTGATATTTGCAAACAAAACTGTTTTGTTCAATCAGCAGGTCTCTTTACAAAGGTTACATGCACAGATAAAAATTTGATCACAAAAGACAACAAATAAAATGAAGAGGAGGTAAATATTTAAGAAGCATTTCATAGAAGTGCTCTGTATCTACCATCAAATCTCAAAACCAAAAACATGACCCAAACAGAGTTAGAAAATACAGGTTAAACTCCATTTTTGCTGAAAAGGCAAGATGCTTAACAGCAGCTGTGTTTAGTTTTAATCTGATTTTTTTCATTTTTCCATTACATGTAGGTTGAAAACCTAATACCAGAATCAAAATGTATTAAGTAGAAAAGGTTTGGTACAGGCTTTTAGGAATAATTATTCATGAACATGAGCAAACTTATAAAAGGCCACTTTTGGTGTGTGGAAAAACTTATTCTTCTACCTTATAAACTTGTAAAAATGCTAGTCTTTTAAATTATTGGAGAATTTGCCCATTTTTTGTAGAAGGTTTTTGTACTTTCGAGATAAGGTAATATCAAGTACTTTTGGAAACTATATGCCATTCATGTAATGGCTCATAAGATAGGAAAAAAACAGATGTATTTCTTTCAAAAAGATCATAATTGGAGTAACAGTAAAACCTGCAATTTTTGTAACTTCCTTGAAAATTCTCATTAGGAAGTGTGCAAAATCATGGCAATTCAATATAACTGGTACCCTATATAACAGGTCCATAAGATGGTTCAAATGTAAGGGGGACACCTATCATATGAAATCAACTTCAGAATAACTTTGCTGGTGCTTACTGTTAGAGGAGATGAATGCTGCTTCTAAAAGTTTCCTCCACCTTGTGAGTGGTGGTCAGTAGGGAAGGAGTTTTGTGCAGGGATAAAACAGTAAGTATTAAGTGAATGTTATTCTGATGCTAAAATAGAGTACCTGTGCCTAGTTGATCAAGGTGATGACAAAAATGGAACTCCAGGTGAGCAAACTGGAAGGAAACGCCAAGAGATGGGACAAACCATGGCGTAAAACAGGAGTCAACTCTGGTACAGGCAGCCAGGGCTGTTGGAGTTACAAGTTGGTCACAAGTGCTTTGAGAACCAGATTCACTTGCAGAGCTGTGGGAGATAATTAATAAAATAAGTTCAATAACCTAAATTTCCCAACATCATATAAATGAAATGTCTTTCTATAGGGGTTTTTAAAGCTAGCTCCCATAATCCTATAGTCAATGTTCTCATCAAATCTTCCATATTTGCTCACATAAACAAGTCGTTTTAAAAAATTAAGTTCTGAGGCTTCCCTGGTGGTGCAGTGGTTAAGAATCTGCCTGCCAATGCAGGCGACACGGGTTCGAGCCCTGGTCCAGGAAGATCCCACATGTGACAGAGCAAGTAAGCCTGTGTGCCACAACTACTGAGCCTGCACTCTAGAGTCCACGAGCCACAATTACTGAAGCCCATGTGCCTACAGCCTGTGCTCCGCAACAAGAGAAGCCACCGCAATGAGAAGCCCGTGCACCACAACAAAGAGTAGCCCCCACTCGCCACAGCTAGAGAAAGCCCGTGCACAGCAATGAAGACCCAATGCTGCCAAAAATAAATAAATTAAATAAATTAATTTAAAAAATTAAGTTCTTGCTGATTATTCTCTATGAGTTATTAGCAGAAAAATTTTGAAGGATTCCTGAAACCCCAGGCCATGTTGACCTCCAACCCAATTTTCTTCCATCCACATTTCACTTAAACTAATATGAGAACAAGCTGTCCGTAAGTTAAGACCAACACAATTCAGAGTATGACTCTGCTGTTCAAAAAACCCAGTATTTTCAGTGTCACCATAAATCTTTCTTTTGTTTTACTTCTCCAGGTCATCCACATCCATATTCCCATATGAGTTAGCCAATACTCTGTATTGAATACCTACTGCATACTGTATTAGGTGCCATAAAAGTTATGACCATGTCCAGAAGAACCAAGGCTCCATGGACAATTACACCACATGTGTCCTCTCTTTACTTGTCCATCCTCCCAACACCATTTTATACCAGTAAAAGTCAATTAAAATAAATAGTGAAGGCATCTGTAGGAGGGAAGAAATTTGTACATAGCGGCTGCTGGTGTGCATGGGAAACATGCAGCCTAGCTGCCTCCCCTCAATGCTAGTAGAAGCATGAGACCTGGGGATTGGGAGGGGCCAAGGTGCATTCTGCTAATTGTGGATCACTAAATAGATGCTGCCCTATTCCCCCTTACCGTCTTCCACCCTCTTCTTTCCAAATCTGAAATTTGCTCTACAGCTATGGTAGCCTGGCTCCCAAATCCATGAGGAGCCTAGAGAAGAAACAATGGTTTATAGTATCCTAGGGAGAACTATGACAAGAAAAACTAAAGAAATAAATCCTTGGTTTTCAAAGAATTCCCAGTCTAACTGGCGATATAAAATATGTAGATGTTTACAAACATTATAAAACAGAACAACCAACAAGGAATAGGCAAGTTGGAAGTACTGCCAGAGTGGAAATACAAGAGGAAGTCAGAATGGCACAGGGTGAATCATGTGGGATTTGCAGAGTGTGAATCTTCAGCTGAGTTTTGAAAGAGGTTGTAAAAAGGCTGGTGAAAATGAAAGCTAGGTTTACTGAATATTTAACTTCCAGGTGTTTATAGTTATGTGGTGGTATTTACCGCAATGTTAGAAAAACTCCACTGCATGCAAAGAAAGCACAACTCTGGGGCACTATGTTTCTGATGAAATGTTATGCATGAAAATGCAGCTAGGTATATTTTTAAAACTTCTATAAATGGGTATACTAATCCAAATAGCTTTCTAGGAATTTATCTGTGGAGTTACAAATAAAGATCTCATTTAAAATAAACGACAAGGTCCTACTGTATAGCACAGGGAGCTATATTCAATATCTTGTAATAACCTATACTGGAAAAGAATATGAAAACATGTGTGTATGTATGTGTATGTGTGTGTGTGTATATATATGTGTGTGTGTGTGTATATATATATATATATATATATACACACACACATTTTATAACTGACTCACTTTGCTATACACCAGAAACTAACACAACATGGTAAATCAACTATACTTCAATTAAAAAAATTAAAGTTAAAAAAAGATCTCATTGGCAAGGTAAAATTAAAACTTATATTTATTCAGAAAGACCAAACTGTATTAGTTGTACGTGTGTTTTAGAAAGGAGATACTTTTTTTTTTTTTTTTTTTTTGCGGTACACGGGCCTCTCACTGTTGTGGCCTCTCCCATTGCGGAGCACAGGCTCCAGATGTGCAGGCTCAGCAGCCATGGCTCATGGGCCCAGCAGCTCCGCGGCATGTGGGATCTTCCCGAACCGGGACACGAACCCGCGTCCCCTGCATTGCCAGGTGGACTCTCAACCACTGAGCCACCAGGGAAGCCCTGTACGTGTGTTTTACACATATGAAATCTCTCCCTTATAATACTTTAAGAAGTTGTTAAAAATAGGGTATAGCGTTAGTCAAAATATTAAAAATCCAGGTGAGAGTACTTTGAGATCAGTTTTAAAACAGTAAGTACAAAATTTGAGGTTTTTATCTGAAGAATTTCTCTGTCAACTGCAATTTTTGGCACTCTTGAGATTTTCCAAGATTTACTTTTCTCTCTCTTGAGAGTAGCAAATTCTGTAACATGTTGAAAAAGGTTGCTAAGATGTCACAAATAAGTGCGTGTCAAAATCTTTATTTATAACAAATTGATTTTTCACTTTTCCTAAATTAAATGTACAAATCAATGGTTAAAAGATATTTTTAGGTCTATACAGTAACTCCTAACGTATATATTCAAGTGGTCAGCACTCTTTCCATCTTGAAATCCTGACTAAAATGTTACTAGATTAATCTATATTTAAAAAGTTAGAGTTTTATTTAAAAATTGGAGTTATATCAAAATTAAAATGTGTTAAACACAAAATTAATATGGTATATGCACATGAAATGCTTTATATTTTGAATCAGTAAATTTATAGTTTTTGATATTCAACTTAATTCGATCATCACTATACACTATAAAAGTACATATGCATGTTTACCTTTTACATAAGGATTAAAAATATCTAACTATGATAGAGCTAAACAGTCATAAAAATGAGAACAATGACCCTGCTAGGGACACTTATAGCAACTACATTTATATCATTTCCTTAATTAAGTACAATGGACTTCGATCTGATCCAGATATCAAAAGGAAAAACATAATTCATGCGATGTGTAATAATCAGAAATGGAAAAGTAAAGATGGCTCCAAGGAGCAAAACCTTTCAAATAGTAATACATAGAACACAAGATTCAGTAGTTAGTTCAAATATCAATAAGTTCCTAATGGAAATTCAGATTTTTAGAATAGAGGAAATATTCTAAAGAGTAGAAAGTATGGCAGGAGTTTTACATATCCATACCTTCATTTTAGCCAAAGGGACTTATTAACTGTCCTGGGTGATCCATAGAAGGGTATCAACTCCTTTAAACAAGGAGTGTTTTAGTAAGTTTAGATCTTGATTGATCCATAGGCACTGCAGGGACCCAGGCATAATCCTTAAAGATTCACCCCTGGATGTCACCCCTATAGCTCTGCAGGTATCCAACAATGATCTGACTTGATTGATAAAGCCTTGGGCTTTTCTCTGTATCCCTCTGTGGTAATAAGAGTTTTATAATATAGCATAGAGATTAAGAAAAGAATGATTGAGGTAAGAAAACCGAGATGAAAATGCTTGCACTGCTTCCACTTACACTGTAATCATGGGCAAATTATTTCATCTAGCTAAATCTGTTTTCTCATCTGTAAAGTAAGTATAGTAATTGGACTTACTTTTTGAGTATTAAAGGAGGTACTACATAGAAACTGCTTAGCATAATGTCTATCACTCCATAAGAGAAAAAAAAATCTCATCCCTCTTTTCCTGGTTGGCAAACAGGGTACCGTACTGGTTACTTAGTTTAATGTTAGTTGCTGGTGATTACCTTTAGCTCCCAAGAGGGATCTGACAATATCACATTGTCATTCATCCCAGTGCGGCACTGTTTCTCAACATTGGTTCACCTAAACTCTCCACTGCCTACTGCAAAAACATTGTCCTGTCCATCCTGGGAGAGCACCGCATGGAGGAGAGAAGACAAAGGACGATGCACCATGTTCTCTCTACACCTTAGATCTGTCTTTTTTGGGGAATGTTTTAACTCTAACTGCAAATAAGAAATACACCTCTGTTGTAACCTCGTACAGCTATAAAATGGCAGGGGGGAGGTTACTGAAAATATTTTTTAAATTGTGGTAAAATACACATAACTTAAAATTCACTGTTTTAACCAGTTACAAGTGTACAGTTCAGTGGCATTAAGTACATTCACATTGTTGTGCAACTAACATCATCGTCCATCTTCAGAATTTTTTCATCTTCCCAAACTGAAAGTCCATACCCATTAAACAATTTTCCTCTCCCTCATCTCCTGGCAATCACCATTCTACTTTTGTCTTTATAAATTTGACTAGTCTTGGTATCTCATATAAGTGGAATTATATAGTATTTGTCCTTTTCACATTGATAGTTTCTATTTTATTTAAAAAATTCCATCAACAGATGAATGGATAAAGAAGATGTAGTATATATACACAATGGGATATTACTCAGCCATAAAAATGAGTGAAATAATGCCATTTGCAGCAACATGGATGTAGCTAGAGATTATCATATTAAGTGAAGTCAGCCAGACAAGGACAAATCATATATCACTTATATGTGGAATCTAAAAAAAAATGATATAAATGAACTTATTTACAAAACAGAAATAGACTCACAGAAATAGAAAACAAACTTACGGTTACCAAGAGAGATAGTGGGGGATGGGTTGGGGAAGGGATAAATTAAGAGTTTGGGATTAGTAGATACAAACTACTACATATAAAATAGATAAGCAGGGCTTCCCTGGTGGCGCAGTGGTTAAGAATCCGCCTGCCAATTTAGGGGACATGGGTTCGAGCCCTGGTCCGGGAAGATCCCACATGCTGGAGCAACTAAGCCTGTGCGCCACAACTACTGAGCCTGTGCTCTAGAGCCTGAGAGCCACAACTACTGAGCCCACGTGCTGCAACTACTGAAGTCCGTGCGCCTAGAGCCCGTGCTCTGCAACAAGAGAAGCCACCGCGATGAGAAGCCCATTCACCGCAACGAAGAGTAGCCCCCACTTGCCACAACTAGAGAAAGCCCATGTGCAGCAACGAAGACCCAACACAGCCAAAAATAAATAAATAAATAAATTTTAAAAAATTAAAATAGATAAGCAACAAGGACCTACTGTATAGCACAGGGAACTACTGTCAATACCTTGTAACAAGGTGGCAAAGCAGTTCCAAACGTCAAGATTGTTGTCTGAATGGTTTATGAAAGTCAAAAGGTTAAAAAAAATGGTACCCAGCAAATTTAGGTACATCTAAAAGTACATATCCAAGTAGCCAAATGGAGGCAAACAATATCTAGAGGCCACAGTGACCGTCTGGTAGGAGAAAGTTCAACCAGTGAGGAGAAAGGAAATGATCCAGGGACTTTACCATCACAATGCTCTTCCTCTGATTCCTGCACTGGCTATACACACAAGAATGAAGGTTTGGTAAATAAAAAGCATCTCTTCCTCACATACACAAAAAGCTGTGGACCACTGTCTCAAAGATCACTAAATATGAGTGGACAGCGACTTACAGGATCTTTAGGGAGAAGGAGAAAATCTTATTTTTTTTTATTTTGCGCTCTAAAAAACTCAACAGAGTTTCCATTTTCATCACATGAAGAAAGAGCCACACACTTCTTTTTCCAGGATGCCTTCCTTCTATGAACCAACGTTTTGTGGGTGGGGATAAAAAGTCCTTGTAAGCAATCTACTCTCACGTTTTAACATTGTGAGAAAGTGACCATGCAATATGGACAAAACCACCAAAGACTCGGCACAGGTAAACAGCCTAGCATTATCATCAAACAATTTGTCATAAAGTTAACTGGACATATATATCAAGCTCTTCACAGTTATTACTGTGTAACACAATAATTGCCTGTAACTTGTGACTTTAGATAGTCACGTACTTCTGGAGTTAGCCATTTGGGGTGAGGGTAAGAGGTGGAAACAAAGTAGAAAGTTGTTCTGGTCCATCAGAAGACATCTGGTTGATACCAAACTCAGGGAACCTAGTAGAGTGGCCCAAAGCCTGAGAGTTGGGCCCACCAGCCATTTCTCATCTTTCCGCCTAGGTCCCATCACTAGGTAAGAAACTGTAAATTCCAAATACAGCGTGTGCTTGCTGGCTATCTTGTTTGCTCTCTAAATCCACTTTCTACCCCTCCCCATCCTCTTCTCTGCCCCTGACTGTATCAACAAGCTGCTTTGTCCTTGGCTTGTCTTTTGGTTCGGCCAGTGGAAGGTGCCCAAGGGAGATCAGAAGGTGTGAAGAGAGTGGCGGAAGGACTCATATTCTCCTGGCTCCTTCTTAGCCACGTCTCTGCACATTGTTGGTCCCTCCACCAAAAACAGCTACAACCACCCATTCTGGGTTAGTTTTGGTAATGGCTCTATTACCTGGCTCTTTCAGGACTAAGAGTGGGATGGTTCCCCATGGTTTCTAGCCTCAGGGTACTGTCCTATCACTTCACCTTGTCAACACTTTTGTAAATAGTCTTTACAGTAAACTCTCCTCAGTTAACCAGTCTGAGTGTGCTGTCTGTTTCTTGTCAGGACCTACTGGGAAAAGGGGTTTATTTAGGCTTCAGCAGTGGGCAGTGGGGGTGGGCAAATACATACATGCTGAGATTAAAAATAAATAGCTGAAATGGATACCCTGATCAGGGCTTAAAGGCTGTATCTCTTGCTTCAGTCCAGTGCACCACAAATAGAAAGAGAACTCTACTAAAGTTCAATACTATTGTGGAAACTAAGCTTAAGTTACTCTCCTTCCAATGCTACCTTGAAAAAAACAACAGTTACCCATCATTCATTTTCATATGATCAAGCAAACCATTAATTAAAGATAGTGGAAAATAATTATTACAGATACACGGGGATTGAATTAAAGATAATATGCCTGTATGGGATAAACAGACCAAGGTTTAAGAGAGTGAATCTTGTCTCCAGTCCTTTGTACCGAAGGCTACCTGCCACCCCTCAGACTGGTTAGCTCCTACCCATTCCTTAAGGCCTCAGCGTAGAAATCAGTTTCTCATGGCCAAACAGCTAGTTGGTGATGGAGGGACTTAAACCCAGGTCTGCTAACTTGAAAATCCCTAATAAATAGTGCTTCTATTTACATACACACAGCGATGCCATTACCGCTAAATATCCTACACTGTTGCACTTTTGACAACTGTGGGCAAGATGCTTTATTTTTTAGATTAAGCTTCATGGGACTTATTTTTACGAACTTTCTTCCAGTAATGTACAAAAGTCTGATGCATATCCTTCTCAAACCATAAATATTATTTAAGATACGATAATCTCTAATCACAAAAGTGTCAGGTTTTTATCCAGTTTTAGATTTCTCATGACAGAATATACTGGATCTAACCATGTGAAATGTTGACATATCATCAAAGCACTGATGTTTTCCTTCAAGAAACTGGATGAAATTTATTTACTGTTCTCTTTGAAAAATGTCTTAATAGTGTTTTATTATGTTGATTTTTAAACCAGCTCTTCAAATTTAATTTCACTAATATCAATTTCTACCTGAAAAATGCTTAATGTCAAACAATTTAAAGCAAGATCAATTGTGAAATATTAGGCAAGTTGAAAAATCCAAGGTGAGGACAAAAGATCTGTGATTACAATGTCGAAAGCTTGGTGAAAAACTGCCTAAATTTGACTGTCTGCATAAATTTCCATTCCCTAAAGGTTCCACATTTCTGCAGTGCTAAGCTTACCACAAAGTGATTTTCATGAATGTTTCAGATTCAGAGGAATTAACCTTGTCCAAAATGCTTCTTTCAATGATGAAAATGCATTCTTTGATAATTAGAATCAAGAAATGATTTCTAACTTGATACTAATAATGAAACTCAGATTTTAAAAAAAATCATTACCCATAGCTCTGTTTTCTGAGATTTCCTGGTTTCTGACTAGGTAACCTATGCTTAGAATAGGCAATCTTTCTATCCATCTGCTAACTCCTCCCAGGATGGGTGTTCTTTTCACTGCTGCATTTCATATAGGTAAAATCAAGACCCCACTTCTTTAATATATTTTCACCAGTCGTACATTACTAGGTAATATACTGGGAAGGCAATTATTTTTAAAGAGCCCAAATGACCTAGAAATAGAAATCATAAAGCAAAAAACATATTATTATTAAGCATACAAAGTAATCAACGAAAAAGACTGTGATGCTACAGACTAATGTGAACAGAGGTTATCTCGGTGTGATATGACGATGGGTGGTATTATTTTCTGTATTTCCCAGATGTTCTTCAATGAACATATATTACTATTAATTACAAAAAGAGAAAGCATTCACAACTATCTATAATGTAAAACAGGAACTAGAATACAAAATGGTGTGCTATGATTATAACCCTGTAAAGGCATACAATGATGGGCAAAAATAAAGGTAACAAAAAAGAGAAAACGGTTCAATCACAGGGTGTTGGAACGGTGGATGTTTTTTTCTTTTTGTTAGTGTCAAAATGTTGTTTGGGGGAAAAAAGAGGGGTGGATTATATACAAAGAATAAGATAATGCTAGAGCAAACTTGTCAGGAGAATTAGAAGGTAGGACATTGAAAGTGATGGGCAGCAAGATAGGCACAGGCCCATAGTACACATATCATATGACCCAAAAAACTGTTCCATTGATGGTGATTTAGTTTCTTTTTCTTGTCATTTAGGGGAGCATGAACAGAAAGACATAATAAGGATATGTAAACTAGAAGGAGCACTTGAAGAATAAATTGCTGGAGCCATTTTTTCTCTACTCTAAGTTAGTGGATGTATTAAGCAGGCAAACATTGGAAATAGGGACAATCTGGCCCTGTTTTGTCACTAACCAGATATCCTGTAGGAGGTGTGGAACAGGAAGTTCTGGGGACACGATTCAGAATACCTGAAGTCTATAGCTCTAGAGATACATTATAGTCAAATAGACTCAAGAGCTGAATAAAACTTTGGCTATCTGAAATCCTGAGTATAAATTATTTTGGTTAGTCAAGTTTTCCTAATGTCTGTCTTTTGAAGTTTTTTAAAAAACCCCTTAAGAAGGAAGTAGTTCCAAAAAGGAGACAATTCAATTTACTTAACGTTTCTTTTAATGCCCCAGGGTTAACATTTACACATATTGATGACTGCGTCATTAAGAGTCTATTAAAGTGTGTATGGCTCTTTTCCTCTATATTTTTTAGCTCAGGATAACTGGATTTTTGGTTTTTTTGAGGTTTGTTTTTTGCTCTTTTTTCCTTTTATATTTAAGGAACAGGTTCTTAGAGCTCACAGTAAAACACAGGAATTTTAGTACACAGACTTTGAAACATCAGCTTCTATCTCACTTTCTCGTTCTCATCTGTAGTTCAGACAGATGCAGCTGTTAGAGAGCTGCGATATAGCTAAGTGAGGGGCCACTAGATGACTTGACGATTGTTTCCTAGTATAATGCCACTATTTCATTTTTCACTTTGTTCACTGAGTTACCTTTGGTCATCAGCTCCATTTTGGCTGCTGTTCAAAACAATTCTCCAAAGATCCGAGGATACCAGTTTCTTCTGGTCATTCACAAGATTGATATCTGGCAACTGCAGTTCACAAACTTTGCTTTCAGACAGACTAAATTCTCGAAATGCAACAAAAACCTTCTGGAGTTCATCCCAGTATTCCAAACTACAAGGAATCTATATTAAAAGAAAGAAGATTTTAGAAGATGCAAACAGAAATGATGTTTCTGTATTTGTTGACATGCAACTTGAATCTTCATAAAAGTTATAACATTAATGAGACTTTTAAAAGGGGACACAGTTGTAAAGGACAGTAGTTTAGGATTTCTTTTCATAGTTATATTCATCCTGTTTACCTACTTTATTTCAAAAGACTCATTCAAGAATAATATGTGGAAACAGTCAAGAAAGTTTTTAAATAAAGGAGAAAGAGTGGAGAACAAATGCTACCAGATGCTAAGTCTATTATAAAGCTACACTAATTAAAATTAAAAGATAAGGTTGGAGTAGTAACATACAAATAGATTAGAAGAAGAAAAAATAATAATATATAAGTACAGATAAATTTTAGTATGTGATGAAGGTACCATTTCAAACAAGTATGGGAAGGATGGGAAATGAGGTTGCAAGAACTGGTTAGCCATTTGGTAAAACCAAAGTGGGTCCCTACATCATTCCTATATGTAAGTAAATTCCAAAAGGATCAAAATATTAAAGGCTAAAAACATAAGAGAAAAAATCAGTTAATATTTTTTATCATAATAGGGTAGCCTTTTCTGTGTATGGCATGAAACCCGCGGACGGTAAAAGAAACAACAAACAAACAAACCTCACAACTGATAACATCAGAATTAATAAAAAGCAAGGTTAGGATAAAACAGGTTAATAGTTAATGACAGATCTACAAATACTTGTTGTGAGAGCAGAGAGCTCTTACAAATCAATGAGAAAATGATTAAGTAAGCATATAGAAAAACAAGCAAAGGCAGTTGTTGGAAGAGGCCCTGAACGTCCCTGCATGTTCTTGCCAGGTATGTAAAGGATGCAAGGCCCTGAAAGCTGTTAACAGGGACCATTTCCCAGGTTCTGTTTGCAGAAAGTATCTTTGAGTGATGAGGTAAAGTTTCTTTCCAGGACAAAGAGCAGACTTGCTCTAAAAGAGGTTGATTTGACAAGCTCCATGTTCCATGCTGTGCCATTTATCTACTGCATGCAGAGCATCCCCCTGGGGGCTCTTCTGCATCGCCCTTGTGGGACTTGGGGGCAAGAGAAACCAATGCAAGCATGATGCACACACTGTTTGCTGTGCCACGAGCAATAATATTCTTTGTTTCTGACCCAAAAGTCTAATATATTATGTGAGCATCCATAAAACATTAGCTTGCATAAGGTAAAATCCCAGATTCTGACAGCAATTAATTTACAGAAGAAAAGATATAACCAGCCAGTAAACATGCAAAGATACTCAACTTCACTAATACTTACATAAGTTCAAATTAAAGCAATAATGTAGTATTTTTATTTATTAATCTGGAAGTTTGAAAAGACTGACATTTCCAATTTCTGTAGAGGTGTGGGAAAAGCATTTCTACCCATTATTTTTGAAGAATAATTTGGCAATATCTATTAAATGCTTGGAAGGATACATCTAAGAATTTGTTTTACAGATATTCCAATATGTGTGTGTGTGTGTGTGTGTGTGTGTGTGTGTGTGTATACGTATGTGTGTTTACTTTAGTACTGTATTAGTAAGAAATTGGAAAGATACAAATATGGAATTAAATATAAAATGCAGATCTACAGAATGGAATCTGTACAACCGTTAAAATGAATAAGGAATACCTATATACACTAACACAAAAGACACTCAAGATATATTATTAACTTAAAAAAAATTAAGCTTCAAAATAGAACATGTGGGTTGATTCCATTTGTCTTAAAAAAAAAAAAGGACTGGGCTCAGATGTGTCTCCTGTTTTGGAAGCATTTCCTAATTATGACCATTCTCAGAACTGGTCACTGCCTCTCTTGTGTCACTTCCATATCTAACTTACTCCTCTATCATAGAAGTCATTACATGTCGCCATTCCTTATTTACATGTTTGTCTCCTTTAGTTGACTCTGTGATCCTTAAGGCAAAAATGGCATATTATTTTTAAAAATATTAGCATCAGTTTTTGGAACATAACAGGATATTAATAAAAGCTTCCTGAATGAATAGATTTCTCCTTAACCTTCCTTTCCTAAATAAGTGATTCTAAATCTTTGAATGGGAATAAATTTTACCTCCATCTATAACAGTTTCTTTTCCTTAAATGGGGACTTGAGCATCCACGTATGGCGATGTGCTAAATGGACGAAAGGGGCACAAAATGGATATGGATAAGAGGCTAACAGTGTGATGAAACAGAGCATATGTTTTGGTTAGTGATAAGGACAAGTGACATATCCATAAATTCTACTTTTAGCCACCATTTCTTGAAATTCTCCCTCTTCTTGCTTTCCATGACATACACTTTTCTAACTTTCCCCTCTCTGGGTCTTTGTTCCTATACTGTCTCTCAGCCTCAAATACCCGTAGAATCCCTGGTTTCTCACTGTCTAATGTTTAAATCTTTCCCATCTATCAAGGTCCAAATGAAATACCACCTTTCTTTGAGCCTTTTCACCTCCCAGATGGAGAAATGCTTTCCCTTTTCTGAACTCCAATAGTTTTTAAAAATGGGAATCTGTTTCATAGCTCTTATCACTATACACCTCATGTTACAGTTATTTCTATACATGACATTTTCGCTGGTAGACACATTCCTTGAGGGAATGATTTCCATTTGGCTAAGCTTCGGATTTTCACAGAACCTGGCAAACTGTATACAGTGAATGTTCAAAAAAAGTTGCTGAATGAATGAATGAATAATTCATGAATGAACAAATACACATATCCTGGGTGATTCAGTCCATCTATGGCACATTAAAAATTCTCCACAAAGAAGTATAGAAGATTAAAGCATAAACTTTGGAGTTATACCTAATGGGATTCAATTTCTAGTTCCATTAGCTATGAGTTCTTGGGTAAATTAATTTTTCTAACATCAGTACTCATATCCCTAAAAAGGGGATAATAACAGAACTATCTCATGAATTGTTGTGAGGATTAAAGGAGACAAAGCCTTCCATTTAATACCACATAATAAAAGCTTAAGAAATGTTAGTTACTAATTATTTATCCTTCTCATGCTCAAAGAACACTTCTGAAGCTTGGGTATTGTTAAAAGAATCAGGTAGGTTGTGAATAAGGGTCCTGCTTGTTAGATGTCTTAACAATGGGTTGGACCTGTGGGAAGAAAATAATAAACCTTGAGCCTGGATGTTCAGGAACCTTGTAATCAGAGTTCAATATGGTTTTCTGCTGCATACCTATTAAAATATTTCCCTGTATGTTGCCTATTACTTGAGAGATAAAGGAACATCTCCTTGCCTAACTCCTTTCTAGACTGCCAGTAAGTCAGTCCTTTAGCTTAAGAAAGCCATAAGTAGAAATGGATAAGATGTGGGAAGTGGGGTGAGACACCTAAGAATCTCATGGGAGAGGGCAAATGAGTTTAGAAAAGCGTATTTAACATACCTATCTTTTTTTTTTAATTAGTAACAAATTAACAGAATGTAAAGTTCAAAAATCATCTTCTTGGTAGAGAGGTTACACAGCAAATAGGGTGAAAAAAAGACTTGTTTCTGGTATTGTCTCCAGAAGTTTTCCATTAAAATTAATGTACAATAGGGACTTCCCTAGTGGCTCAGTGGTTAAGAATCCGCCTGCCAATGCAGGGGACAAGGGTTCGAACCCTGGTCTGGGAAGATCCCACATGCCGCGGAACAACTAAGCCCATGCACCACAACTACTGAGCCCGTGCGCCACGACTACTGAAGCCCGCACGCCTAGAGCCTGTGTTCCACAACAAGAGAAGCCACTGCAATGAAAAGCCCGCGCACCACAACGAAGAGTAGCCCCTGCTTCCTGCAACTAGAGAGAACCCATGCACAGCAACGAAGACCCAACGCAGGCAAACATAAATAATTAGTTAAAAGAAAATTCATGTATAATAGCTTATGAAAATTGGCCGTCACACTGGAAAGCAGAGTGAGGCCTTAAGAAAAAAGTACTAGCAAGTTTTGATGTACAGGAGACAGTTGGAATAAATCCATAATAAAAGGCAATGCAAGCTGGGAACCATTGTGGGAAGCCATTAGGTAGTTTAAGGGCAATGAAAGTAAACTGTACCAACACTGGGGCTTAGGCAAAGAGAAACTGTGAAAGTTCAAAAAGAGAGATTTGGAAGAAAGCCAAAGAAAAATTTTATTTAGTTCACAACTTTGTGTGAGGCTGGTTCTGAGGTTACATACTGCAATTGGAACATTCCAGGCTACTTTCAAAATTTAGAAAACAATAGAGAACTACTATAGAAATACATCATAAAACATGTGTTTGTCAGGATTTTCCTTTATATGCCCTATTTCCCTTGGTTAATAAAGGGGTATTAATAAATGAAACTTCTGTTTAAAAAGTTTAAGATTGTATGTCTATAAGTACATTTGCAAAAGTCACGTATTAATCCTTTCCCCCATGTTAAGAACATTTTTGTCCTCAAAACCTCAAAAGAAAAGCTGATAACAACACTCAGTACAATTAGTATTTTAAAGGTAACTTTAGTCAACTGTCCACTGAAATATATATTGAGCCACAGGTTTATAAATCATATAGATATAATCTTTATTTTTAAAATTTCTCCAACATAAAAAAAAATCTCTTGTTGGTATTACATTCACTTAGGATAAAATCCTGGCGCTGACCCTTAATCACTGCTCTATGACCTTGAGCACCTTATTTAATGACTCTGGGCCTCAGTTCCCTCATTTGTGAAATGTAGATAATAAAAACTAAATTATTTTAGTCCCTGATAAGGATTTCGGACTTTATCTTAATGTCAATGAGATATCTTTGAAGGGTTTTAAGCAAAGAAGCAATGCTTAAAGTCAAATTTAGGTTTTTAAAAGTTTCTGGATACTGTGTAGAGAATGTATTAAAAGAGAACGGGGCAAGCACGGATGTGAACAGACAATTAGGAGGCTAGGGCAGTGATCTGTGCTAGAAATGTAGATGGCTTATGGTATGGTTGGTGGCG